TTTCCCTTCCCTTTCTTTCCCTTTCTCCTTCCTTCCTTCTTTCCTTTTTGTGTCCATCTTTCTTATTCTTTTGTCTCTATTTTGCACTCTTCACCCCATGAGGTAAGAGAATAGTCACAAGTTTCTGGGATTAAGATAAAAGTAATACTAGCTTTGTGTGTGTGTGTGTGTGTGTGTGTGTGTGTGTGTGTGTGTGTGGTACCATAGACTGAACTCAGGACCCTGCACTTACTAGGCAAGTACTTATTCTACTGAGCTATCTCCCTGGCCCTTAAACTAGCTTATAATGCTTTTCTTTTTGTATATTTACACCTTTGCACGTATGTCGTAGTCTTTTGTCTTTGTATTCAGCTTGTACTTTCTTTTGTGAATTTCAGAGATTGTTTCCTCCTGAGTATGAATCAGATCCTTCATAATATATTTTGCAATTTTCTGTCTTCTTTCACTCTTTTGACTCCTAGTGAAACGGTTGTGGAGTAAGTTTGTCCTTTCAGTTTAACCATTTTGGTTTCCAGATTTCATCTTTAGAGAACACTTCTTATTGTTTCTTTAAAAACTATTTCAAAAATTTTATTAAAAGGGCTCGGGAGTTAGCTCGGTGGTCTAAGTGCTTGCCTGGCAAATGCAAGGACCCAAGTTTGATCCCTGGTACTGCATATCATGCCGGCCCCAAAACCTCGCAGGGCTGTAATCCCATTCCTGGAGAGGCTAAGATAGGAGGCTCTCTATGATGCTGAACTGCGTGGTGAGACCCTGTACCAAATAATTAAAGGGAAAAAATTAAAAATATTTCTATTATGTATAACAATGATATATATATGGAGACATATTTGTATTTTTACCATATAAAAGTTCAATACTTGTAATCATTTTGCTACAAATTATGATAGAGTACTCAACAGCTACATCTGTAATTTCTCTTTTTCTTTTTTCTTTTTTTTTGTATTTTAGAGAAGGGTGTACAAAGGTGTTCAGGGTCTCACTATTAGGTAGGAATTGTAGTGATCCACTTTTTTACAGCCTCCCAAGAGCTGGGATTACAGGCGCACACCATCACACCCAGTCTCAATTGCCCTCTTAACTCACCCTGGAGTTGGGTCCCACAGCAGGCCCGGGGATTGAACCCCCAACCCCTACTCCTGCTTGCAGGCACTTTAATCCACTGAGCTATTTGGCAGGCCCTTACATTTGTCATTTCTTTGTTGTAAAGAATTTTTAATTTCCTCCAGCTATTTTGGATTAAACAGAACACATAGTAACTCAGTCTCCCTAGTGTGCAACTGAATACCAACAATTACCTAAGAGGGCTCCAGAAAAGAAGGGTAAGCCCATGCAAGCCCCATTAGCCACATTTCCACTCTTCTTCTTTTAGAACTCTAAACAAAATATTATGAAACATATCGAAACAACCAAAAGACACAGTAAGCAGAAAACACAATCATGAACCTGCATTCCAAATTTAACCGTTGACAAGTAGCTTCAAAGAATTTTATGAAAAACAGCTCCCATGTAAAAATAGTAATGAACTGCACACAGAGACAAGGGATCTTCTTCATCCTATTAATTTATGCCCCTCACTGTCTTTCCAGGGACCACCACTCTGGAATTTCATTAAAACTCACTATGTTTAGCATAACACCATTGTTATATGCAGATGTAGTATAGAAAGGCAAGTTATACCAAGCGCAGCAGCTCACTGATGCAAGAATGTGTGTACAGTTAACATTATTACTTAACTCTATATTAAAATACTTAGGAACTAAGTAAAAATGCAGTTTTTTATTTATAATGAACATGCTCATGTCACAGATCCATGTTACAATTGGGGAGCTCATGACTATGTCTGCACCTGTCTGAGCCCATGTGTCAAGTGTCAGTTTTTCTGTTATGACTCCTGTCATTTTCCGGGCCCTCAAGTTATGATCCAGAGGGCTTAGATTAGTTAAGCACAGTAGCTCATTCCTGTAGTCTCAGTCACACAAGACACTGAATAGGGTGGCAAGTTTCAGGCCAGAGTGGGCAATTTAGCAAGGGCCTGTTCCAAATCAAAAATAAAAAAAGGGCTTGGGATATAGTTCCATAGTATAGCACTTGCCTCATATGCATGAAGTACTGAAAAAATGTATTAGTTATGCCCTCTTCACTGTTAAATGACACCCATAGAGATACTATAATATTTTATCCCAACTCCCAGGACATCATTATGGAAATTCATTAGTAGTAAGATCAAGAGGCAGATGCTTTGACATTGGCAGCAGGTGCCCTTCCTTCCTTCCCTTCCTTTCTTCCTTCCTTCCTTCCTTCCTTCCTTCCTTCCTTCCTTCCTTCCTTCCTTCCTTCCTTCCTCCCTTCTTTCCTTCCTTCCTTTCTTTCTTTTCTCTTTCTGTTTGTATGTATTTTGTATAGGGTCACACTATACAGCTCAGACTCATAGTGATCCTCCTGTTTTCAGCCTCCCCAGCACTGGGATTACAAGCATGCACCACCACACCAGAACTTTGTCCCAGGCTCAGCGTGCCCAGGAGGCGGGACTGGTGTGGCATGTGGTACCAGGGATCAGACCCTGGTCCCTGTGCTTGCCTAAGCAGGTGCTTAGTCCACTGAACTATCTTGCTGGCCCTAAAACTCTTTGTTTTTAGTATAGGACAAATTGGATTAGCATAAGTAAGTCCAATAATACCAAAGGCTCTTCTCCAAGGACTAGAGTTGTTATATTATTTTCATTTAGCAAAATCTGATCTTACTTAGCAACCTCTCTTCTCATATGACTTTAAACTAACAACTTCCAGTAATGTTTTAAGAAAGTCCCACTAATGTAGCAGCAATTTCCTTATCCCTCCTCGTCAAGTTGTTTTTTCTATATGTTTCTTCACAAGCTCTAGTAAAGATGCTACAAGGGGTGGCAAGACATACTGCAGGTGGCCTGCCTCAAGCCAGTTCCTCCTTGTCTATTCTGGGCTCCAAGATTCAATTCTTATGAATCCATAAAGTCATCAGCATATAAGAGAGACTTATGGAAATTCCTGGGTTGGTCCACACAAGACTCCTCCAGGGACTGGAGCTGAGTCTTCATTTAAGATGAACCAGAAACGATAGGAGGGCCTGATTGAGGGGTGGATTCTTAATGTTTCCTTTCTTAATTCTATGTACATGAAAGATCTAGGTTGAGATGAATAACAAATAGGAGGGACTTAGAACCTTAGATAAACGATCACAAATTACAATGAAGAAAGAAAAATTGTAGGAAAAATATTAAAATGAAAACTTCTAAGAAGTAAAATGCATTTCTCTGAATCTGTGTAGATCAATTTTACAGACTTCTATTAATGTTTAAATATTACTGCAAGTAATTATTCACTTCTCTTCCTTTTCAACTTGTACTTATGTAGTCAAATGTTGGCAATTTCAAACTATCAATAAAATAATGGCTGCTTCCAATAATTATTACTAGAAGCAGACAGGCTGGTAATGTGCATTTTCACCTGAAAGTATTGGAGGGTACAATGAAAATAATGAAGCTAAGTCTAATTGAGTTTATCGACCTAAGGAATCACATTTTTTCACTGAAAATTCAGATAGTGAGGAGTTTGAATTTTGAGGCCATGTGCTTTTGTGACAAGTCCTGACCTGTATTTTTGTAGCCCAAAATCAACTATGGAAAATACATAAGGGTAGATTTTCTTTACTAACAAAATCAGCAGGATTTGGTCCAAACACTGCTTTCCTAATTTTTTTTTTTGACAGAGTCTCACTGTATAGTGAGACTCTATGTAGTCTATGTAGACTCTATGTAGTCCACTGTATAGTACACTCTATGTAGTCCAGGCTGGATTAAAACTTGCTGTGCTCCTTCTGACTCAGCCTCTGGAATGCTGGGATTACAGGTGTGTGCCACCATGCCTGCCCCCTCCCAAACAAATTTTGTCTTTTGGAGACAGAGTTTCACTATGCAATTCAAGCTGGCCCTGATCTCATTCTGACTTCAAGCTCATAAACCTTATTTTCCACAGATCTAGGATTACAGGTGTGCATCACCATACCTGGCCTCCAAAATTTTACAGGTTTAACAATATTTTTTTCTGGAATTGTATTTGTGAATACATGCTGAGAGATAAGACACTGTCTCCTTCGCACTTTATTCTTCTCAAGTTGCACCACTTGAATTAGGACATGTGGAAAATGCAATTTTTCCTCATAGTTAACATATGTTTTCACATAGCTGGAAGAGGGCTTTGAAATATTCACAGTGAAGAGAAAATATGCATGTATGGTTTGGTGGATGTTTGACATTCTTGATTAGCTGCTTTTGTCAAGATGAGTGTTTTGGGGATCACAAAAAAGATGAGTATTTTGATAATTATACAATACATACATGTTTCAAAACAAATCTTCATACCCCATATGTATGTGCAGTTATTATGTGTAGATTAGATATAAAAATAAATACAGAAATGTATTGGTTAGGAAAAGTATTGAGGCCAGTACATCCTGGTCTTCTAAATGTGTACCATTTCTAATGTCAAAACAGTTATTACTATACTCTCTTTAAAATATTTTTTTAAAAAAGTTAATAAGCGAAAGAGACAAGAAATTTAAGACAAAATTTAAGATGAATTTCTTGAAAGCATGTGATAATATTCACTCATATGTCCAGTTTTGCACAACTTTATCTGTTAATCTAAGCAACAGATTTGATGATAAAATAGTTAATATATCAATCATTGCTAATCGACTATTCTTCTCTTGAAAATATGTAGCATATGTATTCTTGTATGTTACCTTGTTTCTGTTTTTGCTTTTGTTTTTACTCTTTAAGATAAAATAAAAACATAATAAAAAAATAAGGGAAGGAGAGTAAAAAATGATAAGGGGGAGAACAAAATCTGTATCTGATTTTGAAACAAAGTCAGATACAGATTTTGTTTCAAAATATAGACAAGATCAAGGAGGTTTCTGCTAATTATTGTTACCTTATCACTCCCACTTTTTCTCTCAGACTCATGAGCAAAGTGAAACCAGGAAACTTCTCAGAAACTGAATTCTTTCTTCTGGGACTCTCGGAAGACCCAGACCTGCAGCCTGTGCTCTTTGGACTCTTCTTGTCCACATACATGGTCACAGTTATTGGGAACCTCGCCATCATTCTCGCCATCATCCATGACTCCCACCTGCACACCCCCATGTACTTCTTCCTCTCCAACCTGTCCCTTGTGGACATCTGCTTCACCACAACCACCATGCCGAAAATGCTGGTGAACATCCAGGTGAAGAGTAAATCCATAAGTTACGCAGGGTGCCTCACCCAAATCTGGTTTGTCTTGGTTTTTGTTGGATTAGAAAATGGCATTCTTGTGACCATGGCCTATGACCGCTTTGTAGCCATCTTTCATCCCCTACGGTACAATGTCATCATGACCTCTGAGCTCTGCTGGTTGCTGGTTCTGCTATCCCTTGTCATCAGTGTTCTCGATGCCACCTTGCACACTTTGATGGCACTGCAGCTGTCCTTCTGCACCAACCTGGAGATTCCCCACTTTTTCTGTGAACTGGCTCATGTTATCAAGCTTGCCTGCTCTGATATCTTCATCAACAACATCCTGGTGTATTTGGTGACAGGGATATTGGGTGTTGTTCCTCTCTCTGGTATAATTTTCTCTTATACTCAAATCATGTTTTCTGCCCTGAAAATTCCATCAGCCAGTGGAAAGCACAAAGCCTTTTCTATCTGTGGGTCACACTTAATTGTAGTTTCCTTGTTCTATGGGACAGGTTTCGGGGTGTACCTCAGTTCTACAGGTACCCATTCCTCCCAGAAGAGTGCAATAGTTTCAGTGATGTACACTGTTGTCACCCCAATGTTGAACCCCTTTATTTACAGCCTCAGAAACAAGGACATGATAGGGGCTCTGAGAAGTCTGATCTCTACAAAAACATCTTTTTCTTAATGTCCCAGCTGCTTATATTATTAAACCATGCCAGAGAGAAATAGATAATGAGTGACTGAGAAAACTTGCCCAGCGACTTTGACCACACAAGAGATGTAATAATGAAGGATTAACTGCATAATCTGACCATTGTCCTTATACAATAGCTACATGCCTTTAAATACTTTCTATCACTTCCCTGTGTGCTGTCTCTTCATGAGCCTTTAGTCTGATTTCTCAACTCCATGTTTGTCTTCATTGGTCACATCTCTGCCATTTGGCAACTTATTTCCTAAAATATGAAACCCTCATTACAAAGAAGATGGTATCTGTTCTTTAGAAAAAACCTCACCGGAGTCCTAGCCCAGGTCCAGTGAGTGTGCGGAGAGTTTCCTGCTACCCTGCGCCAGTGGGACCAGTCCCAGCCCAGGCGCAGCGTGGGCCGGACCCTCTCCCAGCCCCTCGGGC